CGTGCGGAGCAGGGCCGCAGCTTGGACCTCCGCCTCCAGGACGGAAAGGGCCGCGCGGGGTCTAGTGCAACACAAGAGAACCGCCGCGGGTCACCGGTGTTCTTCGAGGCTGAGTACGGAAAGGGAAAGCAAAGCTCAGGGCAAGTGCTCGGTTCTCCAGGCCGATTTACAAGTTACAAGGGAAGGAAAACACCCAGCAGGGCTGCTGTCCGGACTGTGGTCCCTGAGAGTAACCAGGGCTGCTCTCCTGCACCACTCAGAACTCCGCTGCAGACCCCAACAGGAGGCCAGCAGGTCTGCCTCATGCTGGTGTCCAGGGCCCAGAGTGAGGTCTAGCATCCTCAGCTGGGCCTCATCGGAGGAGTCCAAGCAAAGGGCAAAACCCAGACCATGGGGTGAAATTCCGCCTTTCAAGTGGAGAAGCGCAGCGGAACTGAGAGCTCGGAGTGGATGCAGGCTGTGTGGGTAACTCCCGCACACCCTGCCCCTCGGGGTCCTCTGTCCCTTACAAACAGCACAGTGTCCATGCAGCACCCAAAAGACTGGCCATCTTAGAGTGGTCTGTAAACCAGAAGCGTCTCATTGTGCTGGGACATGCGTAGACTGTTTATTAGAATAGACACATACTGCTATTTCATGGAGACTATAGTCCATTAAGCATCTCCAACTTAACATTAGAAGAGACAAGCCCACTTTAAATCACACTTCCCCAGCTCTCTTTTGTCCAAAAGAGTTTCTCCATTTACCAAACTATTCACTTATTTTATTTCTCTCAGTATAATAAAAACTCCATGAAGGCAGAGGTTTTGTCAGTTTTGTTCATTGATATATCCCAATGATATAAAATGTGTGCGAATGTTGAATGAATTAATGAAATAAAGTTGAAATCCCAGTTTCTATGCCTCTGGCTCTACCATTCCCACTAAATGCACTGGAACACACTCCCTTCTCACCCTCAAGATTCTGAGTCTTCCTTGTTGCTCTGAGCACTTCACACCTCACTTTCGGCCTGCAGTAGCCAGAGACGTTCCAGCCCTGGGCAGGGAGGACTGCCCTTTATCTCAAACTAGTAATTCATAGCTGCCACACCCAGTGCCTAGAACACACTGAGTCAGTTGCTGTTTCTCAATTGATTGAATTACAGATCTGGCTCAGTTTGAGGACCTACAGGCTATTTTCTGGAGATCGTTACAGAGATTCTCAAATCCCTTTGTAGATTATGATGCGCACGTTTTCCGATGGCTAATGAGGAATAAAGATGATTTCCCCTGATCCCTTCATTACAGGGGTGGAGACTGTGACAAGTTCCTACTCCTACTGGACCACGATGAACTTAGCACGGTGTTTCTCAGGTATTTAGACCATGTCTGTGACCATAAAAATGTCTTTTTCATCACAACCTAGTGCACACTTACATAAATGCATATAACTTGAAAAAGCTTCACAGAAATCTTATGTACCCTTATTGCAGGGAATATGACAATATTTTCTTTTTTAATACTTTATCATTTCAGATTATACTATATATACTAACCTAATAAATTGATTTTACTCTCTAGTACTGGATTCTAAATAGGTTTACTCTCTCAACCCATCAACGCTCTGAGAAAAATATATGAAAGTTTCTTACAACAGAGGACATAACAGTGAATACTATGGCTCAGAATGGCAACTGAGGCAGAGTTCAACTACTTAAATTGAGGACACAGCTGAGAGTCAAGGGAAATCAAGAACAGAGTTCCCAACAGAGGCAGAACGCCAGGTAATCTTAACTGACAACTTGAACCATAGACTCCTGGAGAGGTGACTGAGTGGCTGGGCTATATGCCACAGCTGAAATGCTGGTAGATGGGGCCCAGCCGAAAGAGTAGGTCTGAGGGTCAGCCTTTGGAGGCTGTGTTCCTCCCTGGCACTCCCTCTTTGGGCTCTGCCCTTGCCACCTTGGAGTGAGTTGCTTTGCTCCATCTTCTGCCATGATGTTCCTGCTATGGTGCCAGTCAGCCGAAATCATGAACAAAAATAAACCTTTCCTCCTTTAAATTGTGTGCATCTGGTGTTTAGTCCCAGTGACAGGAGAGCTGACTAATACAAGGAGCACCAGAGAGAGAGAGAGAGAGAGAGAGAGAGAGAGAGAGAGGGAATTCCAGATATCTGTAGAGGGTCCCACTTATGTCTTCAGCAGAGTACTGACTAGCACATGCAGGAAGTGCCCATGTAGGAGTGAAGCTACCCGAACCCAGGGAAAGGAACACACAAAAGATTAAAGGGAATGAGGTCAAAGAAAAAATCAAAAGGGAAATTTAAAACACTACATACCAGACTTTGTGGGGCACCACTAAAGCTGCACTTAGGAAGAATTGTATAACATTACATATCTATGTCTGGCCAATGACCTCAGCCTCTACTCTAAAAAAAGCAGGAAAAGAAGAGCAAGCTAAACACAGCATAAACAGAAGAGAAAAAATAATACAGAGAGGAGCAGAAAGTAATAAAAAACAGAGAAGCAGTAGAAAAAAACTAAGAGCTTCTTCTTTGAGATCTATAAAATTGATAAACATCTATTCAGACTGATCAGGAAGGAAAGAGAAAAGTCACAAATTAACAATAATGAGGAGACCAATGATAAAAACACAAGACATTCTCTAAATATACTGAAATAGCAAGGGTAGACTGTGAACAATTTTGTGCAAATAAATTTGACAATTTACATGAAATGAGCATATTCTAGGAGGTATAAACTAACAAAGCTCTCTATAGAAGCAATATATCACATGAGTAGTCCTATATATAATGCAGAAATTGATTTTACAATTAAAAACTTTCCCACAGAGAAAACTCTAGGCCCAAGTGGCTTCACTATGAATTATAGAAACTTTCATCAAGCTGAGAATAAAAGAGAATACTCTCAATCAGTAAGTGCAATTTAAAAAATCTCTAGCTAGTGAAATATGCAAAGGGCGAATAAGACTACTACTGAATTTTTTAAAAGAATAGGTAATCCACTCTCACCTTTCTATTCAGCATTTTCCTGGAATTTTTAGTTAGTGCAATAAGGCAAAAAGAGAAATAAAAACTTCCAGATTGGAAAAGAATAAAACTATCTTTACAAACATTTGATTTACATAAAAACCTCAATATAATCTATCAAAAAGATTCTCAAGCTAATAGGTAAATTATCAAGTTTGCAAGATACTAATTAAATATTTATCAGTTGATTTTATTTCTATATTTGAGCATCAAAAATAATGGATTAAAGTTTTACAAATGCCAATTATCATAGCAACAAAAATATGAAATAACATTAAGTAAAACGTATAAAAGGAAAAAGATGGATGTGTGAGATTTTATAAAAATTAATAGTTTCTTGTCCTCAAAGGATACTGTTAATAAAATGAAAAGCCACAAAATGGGATAAATATTTCCAAGTTATATATCTAATATAGAACTTAATCCAAAGTATCTAAAGAACTTTCAAAACTCAATAATAACAATTTTTAAAATGTGCAAATTATCTAAATATATATTTCATCAAAGAAGATATGCAACTGCCAAATCGCACATGAAATGGTACTCAGCATTGGAGCTTGGCCATTGGAGAATGTAAATCCAAACTGCAATTCGATATTTGTAATTAATCAAAATGGACAAAATGTAAAAGATTGACCATATCAAGTGTTGGCAAGAATGTGGGGCAGCTAGAATTCTCATGGACCTCAGGTAGAAGTATGAAATGACACAGCCTCTTTGGAAATGGAACAATCTCTTAAAAGCTAAAATAGACACTATTTGACTTCAAAATGTACTACAAAACTTTAGTAACCAATATAACATGTTACTGCCATGAAATAGATACATGCCCTAACAGAACAGGACAGAACAAAGAACCCCAAAATGAACTCACTCACCGTCAAATGATTTTTAATAAAAGCAGCAAAATGATTATGTGTGTGTGTGTGTGTGTATGTATACTGTTCTCAACTAGTGGTGCTGGGAAAAACTGGGTGCACACATGTAGAAGACTGAGACTAGACTCTCATAATATATAAAAAATCCACTCAAAATGGATTAGAGACCTAAATGTAAAACCTAAAACCCAAAATTGTAAAACTACTAGAAGAAAACATAGGTGAATACTCTGTGACATTAGTCTAGGCCAGGATATTTTTCACAGTAGCATAAATGCACAGATGTTAGAAGAAGAAATAGATGGGATTGAATCAAGCTAAAAGGTTTCTCACAGCAAGGAAAACAGAGAATGGAGTAGAGGACCTGCAGGATGGAAAACAATGTTTGTGAAACATATATCCAATAAGGAATTAATATCCAGGAAATAGGAAGAGCTTGAAAGATTCAACAATTATGATTATCCACTTCAAATGAACAAATGATCTGAATAGACATTTCTCAAAAGAAAAATATGCAAATGGCCAATGAAATATAGTTTATTTAAAAATGTTCAACATCACTAGTCGTCAGGGAAATGCAAATGAAAACAATAACGAGATACCATCTCATCCCAGTTAGGATAGCTATAGTTAAAAAGACAAAACGTGGCAAATGCAGCCAAGCTATGGAGAAAAGGATCACATAGTACACTCAAGACAGGACTGTCAAGTTAGTAGAGCCACAGTGGAAAACAGTGTGGAGCTGCCTCAAGAATTTAAAAACAGAGCGACCATATGGTCAAGTAATCCAACCACTGGATACTTACCTAAACAAAATAAAATTAGTATATTTAAATGCAATATAATATATTAAAATACTTTCAGGTGTATTGCAACATTATTCACATGAGCCAAAGCCAAAATAAGGAATTGGTTGACATACTTATTTATTTATTTATTACCATTCAAAAGCACAAAATCCTATCATTTGCTGCAACCTGAATGAAATTGGAGAGCATAATGTTAAATGATGAACACCTACTTTGAGAACCTGTACTCTAATAAAATGGAAAACACAGAAGAAATGGACAGATTTCTAGATACTTATGAGTTACCGAAGTTGAACGAAGAAGATAAAAACATTTTAAACACCCCAATCACAATCAGTGAAATTGAAAATGTAATTAAAAACTTACCAACAAAGAAAAGCCCAGGCCCTGATGGATTCACTGCTGAATTTTACAAGACATTTAGAGAAGAACTACTACCATTACTCTTCAAATGTTTCAGTGAAATTGAAAGGGAAGCTATACTTCCAAATTCATTCCTAGAAGCAAGTATAACTTTGATTCCCAAACCAGGGAAAGATACAACTAAAAAGGAGAACCACAGACCAATCTCCTTAATGAATATAGATGCAAAAATCCTTAATAAGATACTAGCAAACAGAATACAGAGGATTATTAAGAAGATCATCCATCATGACCAAGTCGGATTTATTCCAGAGATGCAAGGGTGGTTCAACATACGAAAGTCAGTGAATGTAATACATTATATTAACAAAGTCAAGGACAAAAACCATATGATCCTCTCAATAGATGCAGAAAAAGCATTTGATAAAATTCAACACCCATTCATGATAAAAACCCTGCAAAAAATTGGAATAGATGGTCTATACCTCAATTTAATAAAGGCTATTTATGAAAAACCATCAGCCAACATCATATTGAATGGCCAAAAACTGAAAACCTTCATGTTAAAATCAGGAACAAGACAAGGATGCCCACTATCGCCACTTCTCTTCAATATAGTTCTGGAAACATTAGCCACAGCAATTAGACAAGAGAAAGAAATTAAAGCAATAAAGATAGGAAAGGAAGAAGTTAAACTATCATTATTTGCTGATGATATGATACTCTACATTGAAGATCCAAAAAACTCCACCAAAAAACTTCTAGACTTAATTGACAGATTCAGTAAAGTATCTGGATACAAGGTGAATACCCAAAAATCAATAGCCTTTCTATACACAAATAACAGACAGACAGAAAGAGAAATAAGGGAAAAAATTCCTTTTACAATAGCATCCAAAAAAATGAAGTATCTAGGAATCAATCTAACAAAAGAAACAAAAGATCTCTACACTGAAAACTACAGCACTCTGAAAAAAGAAATCGAAGAGGATATAAAAAAATGGAAAGATATCCCCTGCTCCTGGGTAGGAAGAATCAACATAGTGAAAATGGCCATACTACCGAAACTGCTATATACATTCAATGCAATGCCAATTGAAATTCCAACACTATATTTCACAGAACTAGAAAAAAGAATCCAAAAATTCATTTGGAACCACAAGAGACCTAGAATAGCAAAAGCCATTATAGGCAACAGTCACATGGCACCAGGTGTAACAATTCCCAATTTGAAACTATACTACAAAGCCACTGTGATAAAATCAGCATGGTACT